AAGAGGCAAGCGAAAAGAAGCGAACGAAAAAGGGCGAATAAAATGGCAAAGGTGAAGTGGGGGAGAGGAAAACGAGAGGCAAATGGCAAATAATGTAATGCGAGAGGTAAGAGTTTGTGATGGGTACTTGGTATGTCTTGACTTGAGCGTAGATCTCCCCGGCAACGGCGCCAGAAATCCTTCTTGCTAACTCTTGAGCATGTGTTGGTTTTCCCTTGAAGAGAAAAGGGTGATGCAGCAAAGTAGCGTAAGTATTTCCCTCCGTTTTTGAGAACCAAGGTATCAATCCAGTAGGAGACTACACGCAAATCGCCTAGTACCTGCACAAACAAATAATAACCTTGCAACCAACGCGATAAAGGGGTTGTCGATCCCTTCACGACCACTTGCAAAAGTGAGATCCGATAAAGATAATAAGATAAATATTTTTGGTATTTTTGTTTTATAGATTGGAAAGTAGAGATTGCAAAATAAACAGCGACATAAATAGCTAGTTGACGGGAAATTAATATGATGTAAAGTAGACCCAGGGGCCATAGGTTTCACTAGTGGCTTCTCTCAAGATAGCATGAATTACTGTGGGTGAACAAATTCATGCATATAAGAATTCATAGAAGAATCAAATATTGTTCATAGATAATCTTAATCATAAACCCACAATTCATCGGATCTCGGCAAACACACCGCAAAAAGAATTACATCGAATAGATCTCCAAGAACATCGAGGAGAACTTTGTATTGAGATCCAAAGAGAGAGAAGAAGCCATCTAGCTAATAACTATGGACCCGAAGGTCTGTGGTAAACTACTCACACATCATCAGAGAGGCTATGGTGTTGATGTAGAAGCCCTCTGTGATCGAATCCCCCTCCAGCAGATTGCCGGAAAAGGTCCCCAGATGGGATCTCACGGGTACAGAAGGTTGCGGTGATGGAAAAGTGGTTTCGTGGCTCCCCTGGATGTTTTCAGGGGATAAGAGTATATATAGGCGAAAGAAGTAGGTCGGTGGAGCCACAAGGGGCCCACGAGGGTGGGGGGCGCGCCCTCCTACCTTGTGGTCACCTCGTTGCTTCCTTGACCTCCACTCAAAGTCTCATGGATTGCGTTTGTTCCAAAAAAGATCCTCACAAAGGTTTCATTCCGTTTGGATTCCGTTTGATACTCCTTTTCTGCGAAACACTAAAATAGGCAAAAAAAACAACAATTTGCACCGGGCCTTTGGTTAATAGGTTAGTCCCAAAAATAATATAAAAGTGCATATTAAAACCCATTAAACATCCAAAACAGATAATATAATAGCATGGAACAATCAAAAATTATAGATACGTTGGAGACGTATCAGCCATCATCATCTTGTGCCTTTGATCTCCATCTTCAAAGCACCGTCATGATCACCATCGTCACCGGCTTGACACATTGATCTCCATCATAGCGTCGATGTCATCTCGCCAACTATTGCTTCTACGACTATCGCTACCGCTTAGTGATAAAGTAAAGCAATTACATGGCGATTCCATTTCATACAATAAAGTGACAACCATAAGGCTCATGCCAGTTGCCGATAACTTTTATAAAACATGATCATCTCATACAACAATTTATATATCATCACGTCTTGACCATATCACATTACAGCAAGCCCTGCAAAAACAAGTTAGACGTTCTCTACTTTGTTGTTGCAAGTTTTACGTGGCTGCTACGGGCTTCTAGCAAGAACCGTTCTTACTTACGCATCAAAACCACAATGTGGTATAGTGATTGCTTTTTGATCTTCAGAAAGAACCTTGTTCATTGAATCTGATTCAACTAATGTTGGAGAAACTGACACCCGCTAGCCACCTGTGTGCAAAGCACGTCGGTAGAACCAGTCTCATGGACGTGGTCATGTAATGTCGATCCGGGCGCTTCATCCAACAATACCGCCGAATCAAGAAACAACTAGTGACGGCAAGCAATATGTATATACCCACGCCCACAACCCCTTTGTGTTCTACTTGTGCATATAACATCTACGCATAGACCTGGCTTGGATGCCACTATTGGGGAACGTAGTATTTCAAAAAAATTCCTACGATCACGCAAGATCTATCTAGGAGATGCATAGCAACGAGCGGGGATAGTGTGTCCATGTACCCTTGTAGACCGAAAGCGGAAGCGTTTAGTAACACGGTTGATGTAGTCGAACGTCTTCGCGATCCAACCGATCAACTACCGAACGCATGTCACCTCCGCGATCTACACACGTTTGGCTCGGTGATGTCCCTCAAACTCTAGATCCAGCTGAGGCCGAGGGAGAGTTTCGTCAGCACGACGGCGTGGTAACAGTGATGATGAAGTTACCGACGCATGGATTCGCCTAAGCACTACGACAATATGACCGAGGTGGAAATCTGTGGAGGGGGGCACTGCGCACGGCTAAGAAATCAACTTGTGTGTCTATGGGGTGCTCCCCTCCCCCGTATATAAAGGAGGGGAGGAGGGGGCCGGCCGACCTCATGGGGCGCGCCCCAAGGAGGGGAATCCTACTCCTAGGAGTAGGTTCCCCCCTTTCCTAGTCCAACTAGGAGGGGAAGGAAAGAGGAAGAGGGAGAGAAGGAAAGCCAAGCCCCCCCCCCCCAATTCGGATTGGGCTTTGGGGGCGCGCACCTCCACCTGGTCGCCTCCTCCTCTCTTCCACTAAGGCCCATGAAGGCCCATTAACCCCCCGGGGGGTTCCGGTAACCCCCCGGTACTCCGAGAAATGCCCAAACCTATCCAAAACCTTACCAATGTCCAAACATAACCTTCCAATATATGAATCTTTATGTCTCGACCATTTCGAGACTTCTTGTCATGTCCGTGATCACATCCGGGACTCCGTACAACCTTCGGTACATCAAATCACATAACTCACAATACATATCGTCACTGAACGTTAAGCGTGCGGACCCTACGGGTTCGAGAACTATGTAGACATGGCCGAGACTCATCTCCAGTCAATAACCAATAGTGGAACCTGGATGCTCATATTGGCTCCTACATATTCTACGAAGATCTTTATCGGTCAGACCGCATAACAACATACGTTGTTCCCTTTGTCATCGGTATGTTACTTGCCCGAGATTCGATTGTCGGTATCTTAATACCTAGTTCAATCTCGTTACTGGCAAGTCTCTTTACTCGTTCCGTAATGCATCATCCCATAACTAACTCATTAGTTACATTGCTTGCAAGGCTTATAGTGATGTGCATTACCGAGAGGGCTCGGAGATACCTCTTCAACAATCGGAGTGACAAATCCTAATCTCGATCTATGCCAACTCAACAAACACCATCGGAGACACCTGTAGAGCATCTTTATAATCACCCAGTTATGTTGTGATGTTTGATAGCACACTAAGTGTTCCTCCGGTATTTGGAAGTTGCATAATCTCATAGTCATAGGAACATGTATAAGTCATGAAGAAAACAATAGCAATAAACTAAATGATCGTAGTGCTAAGCTAACGGATGAGTCATGTCAATCACATCATTCTCTAATGATATGATCCCGTTCATCAAATGACAACTCATGTATATGGCTAGGAAACTTAACCATCTTTGATTAACGAGCTAGTCAAGTAGATGCATACTAGTGACACTTTGTTTGTCTATGTATTCACACATGTACTAAGTTTCCGGTTAATACAATTCTAGCATGAATGATAAACATTTATCATGATATAAGGAAATATAAATAACGACTTTATTATTGCCTCTAGGGCATATTTCCTTCACTAAACATGTAAGTTTGAAGTCATATGCATGACATAGATGTCGATTTAATTTTGGTAGTTCATCCCATTCAAAGTCAAATTAATTCTACAAATATCGTAGACTACATAGTATAATGCTACATGATATTGCAGTTTTGAGTAGCTGGCATTGCATTTTCAAATACAAATATATTATATGAACGTGTCATAGCCTTGAACAAAAACGTTATAAACTAATGTGTGAATGGTAGTTATTTTAGAACAAAAGTTTGAAAAAAAAGTATGAAAGAGTCTAGAACAAATGAGAAGTGTATATGATGTGGTTTGTGCATATTGTTCATTGCAAATACTCCCTCCATCTGAGAATGAGGTTTGTGCATTATGTTTAAGCTCAACCATGAAGTCTTCTAGATTGTACATGTGTCAAAATCTAGTGAAGTGAATATGACATCCAATGCCCGGACATAGGGTATAAAAATACTACCTCCCGAACCAAATAAGAACGAAATATATAAATTTCGAATGTTCGGAATTTAAGCATGTCATCCTGAATGTTTTTTTATGGCAACTTTAGTTGCTGCGAGGTGGCAACTTTAGTTGTTAACACACAGCAACTTTGTTTCAGTTTGATTTTTTGTCAGAAAATTGCCATGTTTGTCAACATTGCCTTAACTAAAGTTGCCATGAAAAGAGTTCGGATTAGCATGCTTAAATTCCGAACGTTCGGGACTTATTGAGGTCCAATAAGAAATAGTAGTTTTTTTGCGGGAGAAATAAGAGATAGTAGCTATTATGAAAATACATGTAATTTTATATTTAATTATACTAATTTGGTATTGTAGGTGTTGATAAATTTTTTCATAACATGATCAAACATTGTGTATATTTGACTTGGAGATAAAATTTGTAATATGCGATTCTTTTCAAGCACCTAGGAGTGGCATAGAGATCCGTGCTATTTAGATGGCATATAAAAATTGGAGCCTTTGGATCTGTGACGGTCCGTCATACCCTCTTCCATTCCATGGTTCTCTCGACAGCATGGGCTTCCCGTGCGCGTCACGTGGGTGCCAGGATCTTCTCTGATCGGACCTCGAGCTCCGGCTGTTTTAGCTCCGCAAAATGAATGAAAAGCACACATCACCAACCAGTGCCCCTCCTACTCCGTCCACGCAGCCTATATCCCGACGCCCGAGACCCGATAGGCGTTGCCGAATCAGCGGGGCCCCGGTGACATGCGAAAGGCCGCAGCCAAAACCATCGACATATGTGCGCAGTCCTTTCTCCTCTCCATTTCCTAAAGCCACACCGCCACTTGAGAAGATACTGCCACACCCCTGTCCTCTGCCCCACTCTGCCTCAAATGGATCACGGCGGAGGAGGCCGTGGGATGGCAGGGTACGAGGCGGCTGCGGCGGCGGCTTCCACCAACCAGAAGACCGAAAGCTTCGGAGGCTGGTGAGTGAGACGCCCTCTTCCTCTCCTCCATCCTGGACCGACAATACATACTGGCTCGCTGTGCTGATTCGCCGGCCATTAGTTGAAGCTCGTTGATCTGACCATGTTTTCTGTTCCTCTGCTTCGGTTACCGGGTGATCGCATAGCTAAGGCAGAGTGCTTGGATGCGGCCCTGGCCAGATACTGAAATTTCCATCCGAAAAAATGGGGGATCGATTACGAGGTTCTGCCACTGTAGCTGGTTATAACCGGTGGTCTTGTCTTATCCCAAATTCAAGTGGAAAGCCAAGTGTTTCGCGTGTTTCTTACTGCGTTTTTGGCTTGCTAGTTTGCGTTTAAGCTCACGATTGGGTGGATTGGAGGAGTGCGGGTGAACTTTGCCAAGAAAATATGTGGGGACTGTGACGGGGGTAGCTGCGCAAGGTTAGGCAGAATTTGTGTTCCGGTGGATAATAAAATACTGCAATACTAATAGGTTGGAGTTAAGCCGGCGTACACTGAAAGCAAGCGGTTAGCATTCCGTATTGAACGGCCAGCTGATAAGGTTTTCCCTTTCTGGATGTTAGTTACAGTACTTTCTCTGCGTCTTTCATTTTGCCTCTCTGGAAAGAGATGGCAGTTGACACTTCGTAGCAGATACTCAGCACCTCCAACTTTATTTCTAAGGTGTTGCGTGCATGTAAATAGGCCTATACTAGGTTGGTCATGCACAAGGTTACACCGGAGAAAGTCAATTTGGTAACTGGGATTAATCGTTCATGGTCTAGATGACATGTTACCACATTGGTATGGTTCGCTGGTCTGCTGTGATAACGCAAATCTTCACCAAAATATCATATTTTTTCTTATTTCTTGAGAGATTAACCAAAATATCTTGCGTGTGTAAGATGTTGGATAGAAATTCATGTAAATATGTAGAGATGTTGAGGTACATGAACCTGACGCATGTAGCAACCTGAAATCCTATTGGATAGATATGGATTTGTTTTTTTTCTTTTCGAAAAGAGGATTACCCGGCCTCTGCATCATAGGATGCACACAGCCATGTAGATTTGGATTTGTATGCATTTGAAATTGGCAAGGTGTAGTTCTGATGCCTGCCATTCAGATTTTTCATATCTCAAACTTGCATAAAACTTATTTAGCCAAAAGGTAAATAGCCCAAAACTGGTTGAAAAGCTGGAATATCATAATACACCATAATGCCGGATGCGGCCTTACCTTGATCACAATTATTGGACATGTTTGGAAATTGGATCATTACAAGAGACTGAAAAGCTAGTGTGGTGGCTGAACGAAATGAGAAAATCACTTGTCAAGTAGGAAAACACTATAGTGCATTTAACTCTGGGCCTCCACCGGTGGCATAATGGCCACTTTGAGTAATATATTCGGCAACTCTCTTCTTCTTAATTAATCGATGAGGCAAATCTTTTGCCTCCGTTTCGAAAAAAAAGTAATATATTCAGGTGGTGGGACTCCTCCCCCGGTGATTTCTCAAAAAAACTCTGGGCCTCCACCTCACATTGTGAGTTTCATATTGGTTCTGTAAAACTGGTTTCCTGTTTTGCTTGGTGGGAATATTTTTAGAATTCTTAAATAAAGTACCGACCAAAATGGGAGAGTAGGAGTGGTGAATCACACTTGTTTTACTTGTAAGTGCTGATAAATACTCTTGCTTCTCACAGATAGAGAATATTTTGTGTTGGCTATTTGATCGGTTAATGCTTACTGTTATGTGCAAATAAAATTTAGGTTTGTAATAATATCTCGTACTATATTGCTATTGTTTAGTTCCAGCTCCAACAGCGTGAAGAAAATTTACCCCATTGACAGTCCAATTAAGAAAAGAAAGTCACAGTATGACCTCAGTGACACAAGGCTGTCATCGCTGAAATACAAGTTTCAGGACCGACCAACTTCACAGGAGGATGAGACTGCAAGAACAGAAAGCTTAGGAGGTGATGACATTTTCATCAACAAGAACTGTAATGTGGACATGGTCAATGTTTACAAGGGATTGGACTCGTGTGAGAATACTCAAAGCCTTTTAGGTGGTTGCATCGAAGTCGACTCCATAAACGGAATTGAGAGCCGGTCTGTGAGAAAATGGGCATCTGCATCCAGCAGCTCAAGCAACAGCATTTCATTGGACACTTACAGTTCTTTTCATAGCTATGGCACCAAAGAGACTGACAGCTGGGTGAGGCCACACCTGGAGCATGATGGCTCAGGTTTGCTGCTGCAAGCATACGATGATGACATTTTGAAAATCTGCTATGTGATGAATGAGCTAGCAGGTGGTGGTGTCGATGGTTCTGCTGATCGTATCATGGATGAGACGCTTTACTCGAATGGCATCGATGATTTCATGATTTTGCCAGCAGGCAAGAATGGTAAAGCACTCGCGCATGGACTTCTGCTTGCATCTGTTTGCTGCCTATATATGTGGATACTAACACTGTGCATGTGGCAATCAAAATCAGGGGAGAAGAAGAAGCAGCTAACCATCGATCAAGAATTCGAGCAGTACTTCTCAAAACTCATGCTTTAGCGTGACCGTAACAGAGAATTTGCTGCCTTGGAAGTGTTGAAAAATGTTCTGCATCCTAACTTATCATGAATAAGCAAATGCAAGTCGGGCCTACCATTGGAGTCAATTCTGTATTTTCTTAACCTTAGTCTTGACACTGCAATGTATATATATATGTTTCCTTTTTCAAAGCCGTACCTTGAGTGACCATCGACTCTTGGCTCCAAATCTGCCATGTTTGTGTATATCTTATGAAGTTATGAATAATGAAAAATCTGGAATTCTAAGCACCGTGTTCCTTTCATCTGCTAGTGTTCTGAATGGATCTGTAAGGAAGCCATATTCCAGAATTGGATGTCGAATTATAGATTAGGCTATTGGTGATCATCGGCCTGCCTAGACTTGTTGCGAGTGAAAATAGCAGTTACTAGGAAATTATTTGGAAGGTTGAAATCTGTCAATCTTGAATTCTTGACGACATGGCCTATTTGGGAGCGTGCATATCAGCCGGTGTCTTCTATCTCACCATGTATGATGCAGAGTTGTCCTTCGGGAGGGCGAAACCCTAGCTGCCATTGTCCCCACCTCCTTGTCCTCCCGGGATGCATGGCACGGCCTGTGCTTATCGATCGAGGCCCAGGCACGGCACGCGTGCCACGCCCTCAGGCCCAGGCATCGCCCCTTTGCTAATCAGGCCGGCCTGTCGACACGCCAGGCACGTTAGGCCTGGGTGCTGTTTTGGGGGCATTTTTTTTTTGCCTATTTGGGTGTATTTTTTTTGCGGGTAAAAGAGATTATATTAATGAGTGGTTTGGCCACAAAGGCTTACAATCTCATCAGGACCTGAGCGCAACCAGACAGCTGCACGTGGAGAAGAACGCCGCAGCTGGGCAAGTCTATGACTAAGTACATTTTGATCACGAGATATAGCAACAATTTTAAACTCTCTATCTCCTTGAGTAAACACTTGATTTCACCGATCAAAGCCGCCATCGATGATCTATTAGTACCATGCTCTTGTATCATTGCCGCTGCAACTGAACAGTCTGTCTCAAGGATGAAAGGGGCCGAGCTCCACTCAAGAGCAAGCGAAATACCTTCCATACATGCTAGAACCTCAGCTTCTAGGGCGATGGAACAGGTAAGCAGGAACCTGCACGTGGAGAATATTATGCTACCAGTGTCATCCCTTAGAATCATCCCAACACCTTCATTATTGTCCGCTTCAGAATACGACCCATCTACATTGAGTTTCACCTAGCCCATCGGCGAGAGAGCCCATGATTTGACCTCTCTTTGTTTTGATATCACATGCAGTGTGGCTTTCCCATGTGCACCTTCATCTATCACCATTTTCCCTTTTGCAAAATCACCCTGCCGGAACTGCTGCACTCCAAGAAGGGAGGTGACATAACTCTGTAGAAACTGACGAGATGCTTTAATCGGTGGCGCCGGCTTATGGTGGACCACCTCATTTCGTACATGCCAACAACGCCACAACAACATCAGAAGGCGAAGACGTTCTTCCCCCTCAAGATCAGCAATTAGCGCCAAGAGCCACTCAGGGCCAGTGTTCACGACCTTGTTGACATCTGGGATACGCCACACATCGGCCATAGCCTTCCAAAGAGCTAGCGCAAACGGGCACCTACAGAACACGTGGTACGTATCCTCTTGTTCACATGCATAAATTGGACAAATGTCGGATTCCTCCATATGACGACTATGCTTATTAGACCATGTTGCCGGAGAATTTGTAGCGAGATGCCAAGCAAAAGTGCGCACCTTTGGGGAACAGGGCATCCCCAAATTTTTGCCCAGATGACTCGTCGTCCATCCGGAGCCATGCTTGTTGCAATTGAAGATGGTCAAAGATGATCTGTCAACGCAAACGGTACGCACTTCGAACAGTGAAGGTACCATTTTTCTCTCGTGCCCAAGCGAGAACGTCCTCCCCTCGCCAGGAGATGCCCTGATTTTTATGATCTCCTCAACGTCCACTGGAAAAAAAATATTGTTGAAGCAGTTGTACATTCCAAGCGCCGTTTGAATCTAGAAGTTCAGACACCCAGCGAAGACGACACCGATTCTTAGGAGAGATAGGCCGCCGCACAACCGGGGGGTATCCATGCGTCACGCCAAATACGCACCGACTCACCATTGTCAATTCGCCATATAATTCCCTGCTTGAGCAAATCAAGACCATGAACAATAGATTGCCACGTCTGGGAAGCATTACCTGTGAATACAGTATCTTCAAGACGTCCATTAGAAAAATAGCGAGCTTTCATGACTTGAGCACATAGAATGTTAGGGGCCGAGAGGATGCGCCAAGCTTGGCAAGCCAAGAGGGCCTGGTTAAAAATCCAAAAATCACGAGAATATTCACCCCACGCTATTGCTCCCCGGCAACGGCGTCAGAAAAAGGTCTTGATAACCCACAAATGTAGGGGATCATTTGTAGTCTTTTTTGATAAATAAGAGTGTCGAACCCAACGAGAAGCTAAAGGCAGAACAAATATTCCCTCAAGTTCTATCGACCACCGATACAACTCTACGCACATTTGACGTTTGCTTTACTGGAAACAAGTATGAAACTATTTTGCAAGGATAAAACTATGAGTACTTTGAGAGAATAAAACTATGGATAAATTGCAAGGTAATAAAAGTAAATAGCTTTTGTCAACAAGAAAGTTATTTGTCCCTAGGCAATCGATAACAAGTACCGGTAATCATTCTTGTAATTTTATATGAGGGAGAGGCATGAGCTAGCATACTTTATCTACTTGGATCATATACACTTATGATTGGAACTCTAGCAAGCATCCGCAACTACTAAAGATTATTAAGGTCGTGAAATCCAACCATAGCATTAAGTATCAAGTCCTCTTTACTCCCATACACCATAGCCCACCTATCCGCGTTTAGGCTATTGTCATCCCCCGCAACACTGACAATAAGTAAACCATGAACATATTGCAACACCCTACGACGAGGGCCCCTCATGTTTGCGCGAGACGGGGGACACAGTAGGACAGCACCATAAATAAAATATACAATCATACCAACCAAGATCATGATTAACCCATAGGACAAAATGGATCTACTCAAACAATATAGGATAACCATAGATCATTGGAAAATAATATATGGAGTTGAGCACCATGTTTAAGTAGAGATTACAGCGGGGGAGAAAGTTGGTGTTGACGGTAGCAAGATTATTGATGTAGATCGCCGTCCCGATCATTACCCCGGTGGCACTCCGATGCCACCGGAAGCGAGGGGGAGAGAGCCCCCCTCCTTCTTCTTCTTCTTCTTCTTCTTTCTTGGCCTACCCCCTAAATGGGAGGAGGGTTCCCCTCTGGTCCATGGTCTCCATGGCGGCGGAGGGGCGGGAGCCCCTCTGAGATTGGATCTCCCTCTCTGTTCTTTTCTGTTTCGCGTTCCCCAGATCTGGCCAAAAACCATTTCTTATATTCTCGGAGATCCGTAACTCTGATTGCGCTGAGATTTTAACACGATTTTTTCTGGATATAAGCTTCCTTGCGTACGAAGTAGAGCCCCAACCGACATACGAGGTGAGCACAACCCATCACCTCGCGCCTGGCTCAGGGGTAGTGCGTCGGTGTCTTGTGCCCTGCGTGGGCCTCCGTTTGCGGTGATTCCAACTCCCAAAAATCACATATATTCCAAAATAATTCTCCATGAAATTTTATTGCACTTTGACTTCGTTTGATATGGATACTCTGCGATACAAAAAAAATGCAAAAACAGGAACTGGCGCTGGGCACTGGATCAATAGGTTAGTCTAATAAATCATATAAAAATGTGCCAAAAATATGTGAAAATTGTATAATATTGGTATGAAACAATCAAAAATTATAGATACGACGGAGACGTATCAGCATCCCCAAGCTTAATTCCTGCTCGTCCTCGAGCGGGTAAATGATAAAAAAGATAATTTTTGATGTGGAATGCTATCTAGCATAAACTTGATCATATATCTAATCATGGCATGAATATTAAGACATAAGTGATTCAAAGCAATAGTCTATAATTTGACATTAAGATATCAATACTCAGGCATCCCAACAAACAATCATGTCTTTCAAAATATCAATACTAAAGAAAGCTATCCCTACAAAATCATATAGTCTTGTCATGCTCTGTCTTCTTAACACAAAGTATTTATCATGCACAACCCCGATGACAAGCCGAGCAATTGGTTCGTACTTTTTAACGCGCTTCAGCTTTTTCAACTCTCACGCAATACATGAGCGCAAGCCATGGATATAGCACTACGGGTGGAATAGAGTATAATGATGGGGGTAAATATAGAGAAGACAAAAAAGTAGAAAGCCCCACATCGATGCGGCTAACTAACGGGCTATGGAGATGCCCATCAATTGATATCAACGTGAGGAGTAGGGATTGCCATGCAACGAATGCACTAAGTAAGAGCTATAAGTGTATGAAAGCTCAATATGAAAACTAAGTGGGCGTGATCTAATCCTATAATGATAAATACCCACTAGTATATGAAAGTGACAACATAGGAGACTCTCCATATGAAAAACATGGTGCTATGAAGCACAAGTGTGGTAAAGGATACTAACAATGCCCCTTCTCTCTTTGTTTATTTATTTTATTATTTTTTCTTTTCCTTTTTTTCTTTCTTTTTTATATTTCTTTTTTTCTTTTTATATTTTTTTCTCTCATTGTCCGGACTCTCATCCCGACTTGTGGGGGAATCCTAGTCTCCATCATCCTTTCCTCATTGGGGCACTGCTCTAAAAATGAATAATGATGATCATCACACTTCTATTTACTTATAACTCAAAAGAAAATAAAAATTACAACTCGATACCTATGACAAAATATGACTCTATATGAATGCCTCTGGCAATGTACCAGGATGTGCAATGATCTAGCGTAACATGTATGAAAAATGATGAACCGTGGCTGAGCCACAACTACTATGTCAACTATATGATCATGCAAAGCAATATAACAATGAATGC